GTTGTGGTTTTACGAGAATACCTGCCTAACCCCACGGTGCTTTCTATTGCTAGAAGCACGTAGATCAATGCAATGTGTTGATCAGCGCCTCAAAGAATAAGAGCATTCAGCACCCATACTTTGGAGAACTAAAGCATGAGCGCTTTCAGTACTTATACCTTGGTTCCAATTGGTTCGGGTGAACAGAAAAACAAAAATACCCTAGCCGCCTTGGTCGGGTACGAGGCCTACCCAAACCTCTGCCGTACTCTGGTTCCGACACCCGGCCGCAATGCGACTCCACACCGGACAAAATGCCCTTCCTGCATTTAGGTTTAAACCACGAATCTCCACAAAGGGCCGAACCCAATGAGCAGATTGTAGTTACCTCCAAGGGCAAACTGCTCCCCATTGTACCAGGTTTAAGTCTTTGGTGTGACTTTGTAGCTTTCGCTACTGCCATTTGAGCCCCTAGGAACTCAAATGACTGTGACATTTGTTTCGTAAAAGAAGGAAATGTCACTATACCAGGAATAAAAGTATACAGTGTACAATAATCATTTTTTAACGATGAGTACTATAGCACTATATTTGACATGGACTATGCTGACATTTCAAGGCAAGCCCAGAATGACAGACACAGTGCATGCGGGATTTTAGTCGCCTCTTACGACAGGCATGACTTACCACGGGTACATTCGGTTTCCCCTCGAACCCAGAGGAGTCCCCCCTACCCGCAGGGGGAGGACAGACAGACAGACGGATATGGCTAAATCGACTCAGCTCAACATACCGATCACTTATATACATATATACTTTCTTTCAAATTTTCTTGGCACATTAGCACTCGCCGCAATTTCTGGTCGTCAGTGAGCACTTTTGGGACCATCTTCGCGCACACCTTGCTCATGTTCAAGTCCTCCGTCACAATGTCATCAACCATAGATTTTGATAAATATAACATCTGGGTAATTAAACGAATACTTAGCCGACGGTCTGAGTTCAAAACATTGTGCACACGTGTCACATTGTCGGTGTTTGTCGAAGTCGCAGGTTTCCGCACGGGCTTCATCAGTGACGTCTACCGGCCCTCTAAAAAGTCCTAAGGCCACCGAAACACACCACTTTCAGCTAAAGCAACATCTGGGTAAGCATGCTTGGTCATATCAAACGTCTCAATCGCAGATTAACCGAATTTCGCACACAATTTAATCGCGTACTTCTGCTTCTACGAACGTTGCATTTTCGGCTTGCACCACTCACGGAAACACGTGGCGCGAAAATATTTGCCCTTACTCTTCAAGTCATTGTAAAAACCTACAAGTAAACAATCGTTTTCATCCATACATACGCAGGCGAAAGCTTATAGAATACATATTATTACACAAGCATTGTACATATTATATGGGTGAAAATGGGCATTCTGAGGAACCGAACACCCAAAATATATTAGTAACGCGCCTATATTGCAACCTCTTTACTATTTTTAAGTCCTTTTGTTTAAATGTCTGTGCCGAAATATCAACTATTTCGATCAGATGATCTCAGCTGTTGACCATACGATTCTTTTGTTACTTGCATGATTCTACTATGCTACAAGTGCTCGGAGACAACTGATCAGCCGCTCTACCGAATCCAGTCGGTGCTCCCACGCTCCGAAGTACAGTCGTGGCGGAAGAAAATCAGTCCTATTGCTTTCCGAGCAAACCCTGTATTAACTTTTAATTACCACACCGCTGTATATATTGTAATTCAAAATAGTTTTTTTTTTTCTTTGGCCGAAATATTATGAAATGTTATATTGTTAAATGCAACATGTGTGACTTTCTTATTAAACGCAGCCGGCTAGGAGTGCCATACAAAAAGAAACAAAAGTAAGTTGTTACTGGTAATTAGAGCTTGCTTTATTGTCATTTGTTAAGCACGATTTTTGTTCAGTTTATGAAAAACCGTAAGATCACAAAAAACAAAAACATTATATACACATGCGTTGCTGTTTTTGAAACGAAATAGTATTTGCAATGCCAGCAACGAGTTATTACCACTTTTTAGTATTCACAGACAAATTTTGCTATGTACTCGTATGTATGTCATTTGTCTTCAACTCGTTCATCAAATGACTTTGTTCGGTAATCGATGCGTGCTAAGCATTACAATATACTATACAAAAATCTCTATGTACATACATATGATCATACTATTATGAAGTGCCAAAGAAGCATATAAGTTTATGCTTGCCTAACTCCATATATTGATATATACATAAGTATGTATGTTCACGTAACGAGAAATTTATCTGCGACGAATTCATAGGTACGTCCACCAAATAAAATATTATAGACATATTTGTTTATTTATAAGGTTTGACAAAGGTGTGTGCCCTTGATCGCACAATTGAAGAGATATCGATCTATTACCCGAAGATACACACCTTCATACATGAATATACTATCATAAGTTATGAATATATGCGCTTAGTAAAGTACATATGTGCGACCAACATCTTGATGGCAACGTGCTCACCTGAATTTACCTACTTTACTGCAACGCTTCCGATTTTTCACTTTGTTTATTTCCATTGCCTCTATTGCATAATATTGCTTATGCGTACATTTTGGCAAGTCGCCAGTCTTGAATAAATAATTTTTAACATGAAGTACAAATATACATTCATATATACGTAAAAAAAAATTAGCACACACAGTACACATTGCAAATTACATCCTCGAATTGTTTTCAAAATGCATGTGAAAAATTCATCATAAGTGAGTTGTGACATATGTTGTTACATGCATGCATAAATAACAAATAAGGAAGGACTAAGTTCAGTTATAATCGAACATTTTATACTCTTGAAGCTTGCAAGGATCGAAGCCATGAAAATACTGCCAGGTAAAGCTACAGAGATCCACGTTCTTTCAATTTCATTAAGATAAATCAAATATTGACCGATGCACATTGGACGTATGATGTATAAATTCAATTGGAAATTTGTATTAGGTATACGGGGGTTAAGGGAAATAATGATTCGATTCTACCCATATTTGACACAATTTCATTAATACCCCGACCTACTATAGTAAAACATCGAATTTGCAATGAGCTAGTTGGATTGATTTAGCTTAAGTTGGTTGGAGGATATGTACATTAATCTAATTAGGGGCGGAGCTCCACCCTATTTTTTAAATTATACATTTGCAGCCCTCTGCACCAAATTACAGTTTTGTATCTAAATTTGGAGCTTATTTAGAGCACTTAAAAGGTTTTCGATTAACGGCATTGTGCGGGCGTGGTAATAATCCGATTGTGCCAATCTCCAATCCCAACCCTTCTTGGGTACTAAGGAAATATTATATATATTATATGTACTAAGTTTCATCGAGATATTTCAATTTTAACAATTAAGTTAACAGAGCATCAACACCCAAAAACAGATATTAACAACACAGCTCAAAATCAGTTGAATTGTTTTTTAATTGAAAAACTGCTCTCACTGGACCTGCTTGTGCCCATGAATACATGAGTAGTTTTCCAAGAATGGCAATGAGCATTAGAACCGATTGTAAACATTGTGAAGAAGCTTAAATTTTTCTTTGTAGATATGTGTGTATATACCTATTAACACTCTTATATGTTTATATAATACAAAATTAGACCATCTAAAGGCGTATTTTTTTTTTTATTATATTAGCTGAATGAAGATTTTCCTGCTGCTCTTCAGCTTCTAAAACTTGTAAGAGAAACTTATTAACAATATAGTGCGAATCAATAATAATTGTGTGCTTTTCTATACAGCAAGATATGAGAATCCATTTAATATAATTCAAATTGGGTCAAAGCATTGTGTTTTAATGATTGCTTTTATCAAATGTAAGCCCAATTACAGATTAGAAAAAAATCTGTCCGTTTAGATATATATCGTGGGGCTTGCGCTATATTTATTACGAATAGTATGTATAGTAAACAAAAACAAAAAAAAAAACATTAACTTCGGCTGCACGAAAGCCATAATACCCTTCACAGCTGGATTTGTTACAGCAACTACTACATATCATATATATGAACATATATAATTATTTCTGACGATTTCTTGATTTAACTTTACAGTTGCTTTTGCTCCAATAACAAAATATCTCAAAGACTTCCAATTCAAAAAATATTTGTAACTAGTATCTTAAACAACCGATATGATGTTTTTCTGAATTCAGAGTTCATATTATATAAATAACGACTAAATAATATTATAATACTCATATATATTACTTGAGATACTATTAGTTGTATAAATATAGACCTTTATATATAAAAATTACTTGCCACGTTGTTTGTCTGCGATGGACTACTAGGATAGTCAAAACAATGCATAAATAATAAATACAGTGAAAGCTGTACTAAGTGGACTCTCTATTAAGCGGAAAACTCTAATAACTAGACAGAAAGACTGATTCGTCAGTGTCTGTTTATTGGAAATTTCACTGTATATATTCCTAAACATATCCCTGTATTCACGATCCCCAAAAAAATATAATACAGTTGAACTTATATAACTCGAAGTTCTCCATAACTCCGACTCTTAAATTAGCAGTAAAAGTCAAATTGCATACAAATTTATTGCATAACTCCAAGTTTTTTTAATGAATTATGGTGATTCAAGGTTCAAAGAAAAGTTCATCTGTAATTCTAATTTTCAGTAAAATGCCTAATCTTAGGACCATGTTTTGTTAGCAGCCATTTAACTATAACTGACATATGTTGTTAACCTAATTGAAAAACAGCTTTAAATTCGTTATTTTTATTTTATTTGTTTATTTTATTTATTTGTTTGAACATATTCAAAATTAAACCTCAAGTACAATCCCATGGATTCATATACCGACATAAACGTTTTCGACTTTATTGCTAAATAAAATTGCCACTATGTTGAATAGTTTATAATATGAATAATAATATAAAATATATATCGCAGCAACGCGCCGGGTCCAATAGTACTAACATAAAACTACAATTATATACGTACGTACCGTTATCAATGACGCATCCTCAAGTATGTCTGATTTTAGATTTCGCCCACCACCCGCCAAATTCGCATTACTGGCTAAAAACACAGAATTTAGCAGATTCTTAAAGCTCAAAGATGTGTAACTGAATGGCGAGAGTATAGTGAAGGCTTCAGCGGTACCGGCGAGCAGCTGCAGTGCAAGGAAAGAGGCAAATGCCAGCGGCCATAGACTTAAATTTTCACTTTTCAGCATCTTTATCGTTGTGTTATTATTATGTTTTCTCGCCATTACTCACAGTAATTCAAAGAAAAACACACTTAACGCACCCAAAAGTAAAGAGCTTAATAAAATACAGAAAACAAAACGCGCGTAAATAGTAAAAAATTGGCACGAGTACGGTTAAAACTTTTTGTTGCAGAAATACGAATTTTTAAGAGGCAAAAATATCTGAACAAAGCACTGCGCATGCGCGGCACGCAAACGACGAGACATACACGCGGTAGTGCAGCGTGCATAAGGTGGGCGACTGTTTGCGGTTTCTTGCACTTGTTGAGCTGTTACGTTTCTTACTTTTCTTCGCCACTTTCCCACTGGCTTAGTTTTTTATATTTGTTTTTRAAAAAAAAAAAATGTTATTTATAGACTTTTATTTATTTTCTCACTTACTTTCTTGACTACTTCCTATTTTGAAATTCTGTCTACTGACTTTGTATCTATAAACGAATTTGTCTAATGTGTTTTAATGCACGCAGTTTCAATAATTTACGTTCATTATTCAAAATTTCATGCACTATAATTATTGCTTATCGTGTTTTCCTCTGTAGGAAATGCAGTTTACTCAATTTTGAATTTCCGCGCTTTAAGGAATATACATATATTCAAAATATTTGCACTAATTTCGCGCGAGCTTCACAGCTACCGATATTACAACATATAAACAATCCACATTTATTTCTGCCTTTGAATTACTGTCGTAAAATGCAATGCTTATATATCTTTATACATTTGCACATATTCACTAATGTTTGTGTTTTACTCGTACGCTCATCGTACCCGTATCAAAATATATTTCTTTCGAACACTACCTTTCGCCTCGAACTTCGCAAACAAACTGCAGCGAAGCTAAGCGCGTTTTGTAGCAAAGCTTTCATTTTGAACCACCATCTCGGATGTTTAGTGCAGTTGTTGGTTTGATCTGTCCAACTCAAGTTACTTTTGCTCCAACCAGATTGAGGCGAACTTGTTTGAGCTTAATTTTTAGCTGTTGGATCAGAGAACATAACATAACATTTTATGTTCTCTGGGTGGATGTGCTAAGAAATTTGGTATATCCGATTTACAGACACCAAAAATCAGAAATAGAGATAACGATAATTTCGTCTCCTTAACTTTTTTGGTGCATTTGGTAAAAAACAAAATTTTATTGGATCGTGACGTCATAAATCAAAGGAGTAAAAGGCGTTGTTTACAAATACAAAAAGGCTTGAAAAATTGTTGAAGGATCACATGATGCGAGACTTTCTCATTTTACCTCATTTTCTTTAAACTCATTTCCTGGTTTAAGTGGTAGCGATTGAGATCAGAGACAAATAACATATAACATAGAGGTTGTTCAATTACGAACCAACGTAAAATTTGTCACATTCTAACAAAATTCATTGAGCATCTCGGAATTAGACTTTAACATTGCCACGCGAACAGTACTAAGTTTTGAATAAAAACTTTGCTCAGATACTTATTTTGATATTGCAGCCGAATGTTGGTATTCAATGCTTTCCATCGAACAGAGTCATCAAAAACATACTCTAGTTTTTTATTCAAAATTGATAACATTCTAATTAGAATATGTAATTTTCTAAGCAATATTTATCGTCAATGAACAAATGGATCTGTACCTTTATTGATTTTGAAAACTTGGTTTTTACAGAATATAATTTCCTAATTAATAGTTTCGTATTATATATGTTATTAATAGAAATTAAATTCATAGATATAAGAAAGCGCTAATGTTCTAATTTGTAATTTTAACATGAGGCAACATGAAAAAATACTCGTATAACTTCGAAAATAAAAATACACCACCCAATGTGTGAAACGGGGATAAGGATAAAAATTCTCAGAAAATAGTTAACAAGGCTTTTAGCAGAGAACGTTAACTGAATTCTGTTTACATTATCTGTTGGTATCTATAGCGTTCAATTGCGCTTATATTATATTTAAACGTATATTATACTCTTGCAACGTGTTGCTATAGAGTATACAAGTTTTGTTCACCTAACGGTTGATTGTATCACACATACTCGTACATCAATTACTAGGATGGCGAGACGGGTTTAATTCCGAGCGATAGTCTGTTTGTCATCCCTGCAAGCTGTAACTTGTGTAAAAGTTTAAATATTATTGATGCATGAGTTCCTTCGCAAAAAAGAAAGGACGAGCTCGTAGATGGGTGTATTCGGACCACAAAACTCGATCGAAAACTTATAAAATGCCATATTTTTGTTATAGCCGAGTTAACAACACCGCGCCAATCATTTCTCCTTTTTGTTAATAAAGAATTTGTCTCAAATTTTGTATTTCTAATCAAATTTCGTGTGCGGAATCGTTGCGAATGTTGGAAAAGGCTTTACGATGATTCAAAAACACAAAGACGGTAGAGAGATCATTGCCTTGTTCTGCATGACATTCGCTTCTTTAACAGATGAAAACTTAAAAAAAAGAGAAGGATATGGTGCGTTAAAGTCGTCAGGCAAGTGTTAAAGAGATGGCAAGAGAGATCGATATCTCTCGTGAGCCCGTTCGAATGTTTTTGTTGGATATTTTGGGTATAGACAGCGTTCTTGCTCTACTCGTCCCGATAAAGCTGATTTCTTTTTTTCTTTTTAAGAATACAAGTGTAACCGAATTCCAAACAAAAAACGCAATGAATGCCATCGATCAACCCCATTCACCAAATAGGCTCCGTGTTTTTTTCTACTTCCTCCAATCTAAATGAACTATTGACGCGATTCAACACATTTTTATCACACAGACATACCATTGACAGGAACAGTTATTCCTGAATATCAATATTTATATATATTATATATTTCACACATTGACCGATATGTGGGGTAAAAAGTCAACTATAGGTTCTGAGGTCCAAATATTCGGTACCCAGGCGCTTGAACAGTTTTACTTGGATTTGGACGAATACTCTAAAGGCATTATTCGTGTCAAGTTTCATCCCGATATATAGATTGCTCTTGATTTGTACACTGGAAAGGGAAGAACAAAATGAAATTTAAAATTGTATTACATGGGAAGTGGGCGTAGATATAGTTCGCACCGAATGTGTTTGAAATTCAGAGAAATGTAATTCTACATAAAAGTCCAATTTTCACATCGGCTCCTTTAACCCCCCTTATAACAATTGATCTAAGCGAATAAGGCTGTAGTGGTATATTTTATCAGCCCACAAGTGCCCCTTAATACTACAATCCTCTGTGCCAAATTACTGTAATATCTTATTTTGGATCTTAATTATGGCGCCTTACTTCTTTCGATGGAATATGAGTACTAAGTTCCATCAAGATATATTAATTTTATTCAATTTACAGCTTGCATAGACGGACGGACGGACGGACAGAAAGGCCGTCAACCGGATTTCAACTTTTCGCGTAACAATTTATCTCGCTTAGTTTTAGGTGAAACGTACAACCGTTAGGTGAACGAAACTAATATACTTTGTAGCAACATGTTGCTGGAGTAAAATAATGTTGCAAAAGAATTCATCATTCATTATATTCATAAATTATAGTGAATTTTTGGTTATAAGGCAATATTTGTGAAAAATTTTATCCCGTTATGTCGATTTCTTCTTGATTTATGTACTGGAAAGTGAAAGAATCAAATGAAATACAAAATTGCGCTGTATGGGAAATAGACGTAATTATAGTCCGATTTTGCCGATTTTCACATTGTGACATAGGAATATGAGAAGAATGCCACGAACTAAATTTAATAGAAATCGGTCGTACAGGCTCCGAGATATGTGATTAAGTCTAAAAGAGGGCGGTGACACACCTACACTGCAATTTTTAAACTGGTTCCTATTAAGTCCTTTGATATCATCGCGAGTGTAAAATTGTATGTCTCTGCCATATTTATTCATTGGTTTATCGCACTTTTAGTAGTTTTTAACCGTACCTTTATGTTATCTTCCGATTTCATCTATTTTCACAGGTTCCATAGGGAGGTTAAATGGATTCGTCGAGAGCGAATTTGGTTGTTATAGAGGACAGGGTCACACCCACTTTTTAAAAATTATTGGTCCACAAGTGCTACTAGCTACTGCGATCTCCTATGCCAATTTACAGTTTTATGTCTTAATTTAGTTTTACACGTTTTCGATTTATGGTATTTTGTAGGCGTGGCAACTCACCGATTACCCCCATCTACGAACTCCTCCTTACTTTTTTGCCAAAGAACATGTGTACCAAATTTCATCAATATGTCTTAACTTTGCTCAATTACATCTTGCACGAACGGATAGACAGACAGACAGTCATATATATATAATCCTTTATCTAACTTGATTAGTTTTAGGTGACATACAATAGTTATGGTAGGTGAACAAAAATATTATACTCTGAAGAAACATGTTGCAACAGTATAAAAGTGAGACAAGTGCATTATACTATATATCGTTCATTCACACTGTGTTTGAACAGCTCTTCTTGCGGCAGTCGCTGTTTTCTGCAATCAAAAATTTTTCTAGCAGAAACTAACAGTGCTCTTTGCTTCTTATGCTCTCAATTTGTGTTCACTTTTGCTAGTTTTTTGAGTTAAGGATCGCTTTTCCAGCAGAAACGTGGAGAGCTAGTGATAGTTAGTAGTTATGAAACAAACCTGTTTTCTTTGATAACTTTTGCACGATCAGCTGATCGCGACATTCGAAATCTCTATTTAATTCAATTGCTATCAGCGTAGCGATTATTGAACAGTTGTTTGACGACATTCCACAGCTTATATCGCCAATTTTAGTACCATCGGTATTGGTTTAAGTTGTATGTGTGTACGTTTTGACGTGATGGCTGTATGGTTTAGCCTCGCGCTAACTAGATGAAGCTAGATACAGAGGTACAAGTATATACATATATACATATATATTTCCAATCTCCAAAACCATGTGTCTATGTACTGCTTTTCTATTGGTTATCAGTACGAGTCAATCGTAGGGATAGAAGAACTATTTACAAAAATGTAGGTCCAGAATTCGGGAAATTTCGCTGAATGTGATTACAGAATGTTAGTCCTAAGAGCCGATGAAATTAAGCTCTTTAAATTTCTATTCTTTGAAGGGTTTTCAGATATAAAGTTCTTAAATCTACACTAACTCTCTTCAAGATAGACAAAATGTATAGAATGCATTATGTAGTAACAAAATAATAAACAGGAATAAACATTTCTAAATTACAAGATCTAATTCTAAAAAAGTGAATAATACTTCATTGTTCCATTAAAAAAGACGATAAAGAAGAAATAAACAATTTTCAGTATGTAGCATCAGTTTACGGATTTCTGCATTGCTCATAAGTATATTTGTGATTAAATATTTATGAATATACATACAAGAACACACTAAATAAATGAAGATGTGCATACTATGTATGTTTGCATACCTTTATATTTTGTACTGTTCGGTGTTGTCGTATACATACACGGGTAAGTAGCTACTAATGGCTTATTTCTCTTCTTTCTTCTTTACGCAGCTTTTCCCATTTCCTATAGACTAATTTTATTGGCTGTTTTACTGCACTACTCTTTACGTTCTCGTGTTATTATTAGGTTGTCAAAAAAGTCTTGCGGTATTTCCGCTAGTTGGCGCTGAGAGCGCGTAGTTCTAGTTTTATTCGTCGCATCGGGTCATGCTATACCTTTTGGAACGCCCACTTCACGCGCTAACACGTGTTTGATTGATTGTCGTTTCTTTTAAGTCGTTCGTGAGTTATAGCGTAGCAAACATGGATATATATTTTACAGTACTACTTCGATAAAGGCAAAAATGCATCTCAAG